TATTCCATGTGACATAAATAAAATATATACTTTTTTTAAAAAATTCTGAATTAACGAACACCATTGTGGACCGATTAAATAATTATTTAAATGTGGTTTTGGTTACTGACATAATAAATATAGTTCACATCAGTTTTCTACTATGTCTTGATATGACTCTGAGGCAAGTTATATAAATTCTTTTAGTGAGGAGGAATGAGTCCAAGGTTTCCATAGCGATGGCTGGGGCGGTGGTATCCCTGACTGAGATAGAGTTGGTTGGACAGACGATGATGAGTTTGTCTCTTCAGTCTTTTGTGCATTTACCGCAATGTCTAACAGAATGCCTGTGCTTAGTGGATGTGTTAGTTAAAATATTGGTTTGGCTGCCTCCACTATGATTTACATAAAATGGAAAGTGAATTTCCTCTTTCATGGAAACGTCTGAGTGGGTGAGCACCCACGCGGAAGAGTGGCTCTTTTCCACTAGGTCATCCAGGGACCATTTCCTAGCTCTTGTCTCACTGCTGCCAGAGTATAGTGTGGCTTAGGACAGCTCACTTCCATGGTTTTGCCTTCGAGCCCAAGAGGAAGAAAGAGGAAGTGGGAAGCACTTTTTGAGTGCTGTGCGTTGTTGCTGCCTACTTTCCATTGTCTCTAACTTGGTCTCATGGCTATACCCAGGTATAAAGTAGGCTGTGAAAAATGTTATATTAGTGGACTAACCATATACCCAGGTATAGCTCAGAAATTATGTTGCTAAAAAGATGAACAGAGAAGACGTGGTACATATGTACAATGGAATGTTACTCAGCCATATGAAAAGATAAAATGCTGCCATTTGCTACAACATGAATGGATCTTGAGATTATCATGCTAAGTGAAATGAATCAGACAGAAAAAGTTGAGAACCATATGATTTTGCTCATATGTGAGATATAAAACTGAAAGCAACAGATGAACAAGACTTTGTGGTATAAGTTCTTAAACATGAGACCATCTACAGGGTCCCTTATTTTGTGCTTAGAATTTGATCATGTAGAGTCGAAGAAGGAAGGAAGGTCTCCAAACAGAAGTACCCAGGAGGTAAAGACTCAGAACAGTGGCTCAGAACTGTGAGCTGTCCGTACAACAAATATGTGAGCCCTTTCAAAAGACGGTGTATGTGCTTATTGGACTATAGAGAAAAGCAATTTAAATAAAAGCTGGAGAGGGTGCTTATAGGTTAGGTGGTAGGAAGTAGAAGAGAGAATCCAGGGGAATAATTGGAAAAGTAACCATCTAAAGACAATGAAAAATATTATTTCCTGAGGCAGGAAGAGAAATGGATGAAATGATATTGTAGAAAGGATAAAAAGTTAGAGAGGACAATGGAAAAAAAGATGTAGAGGCCAAAGAATGTGTATGAGGAGAGAGAACTGAATGTAGAACAGGACGGAAAATTTTAGCTAAGATTTATAGCTTGCCATTAGGCTCCAGAGTGTCAGATTAAATGGACAATCTACAGAGGGAATCTGGTCTGTTACAGACGGAAATTGTTTAGGAGGCATTTTAATAGAGGTTTTATTCTCTTCCATGGCCTAATATTGCACCTGTTCAAAGCAGATGTGTCATTGGTCATGTAGGATGCCAGAGAAGAGGATATATATGAAGAAATCATTTGCAACCACTGGAAAAATACTCTGAACTAATAAGAGTTTGAATTTCTTAGGAAATTACATGGGAAGAAATAAAGATAATCAATTCTTTCATTAAATTAAACTCAGTAATGAAAAGTGGACAGAAATTTCATTTTTAAGAAAACATTTAAAATGCTTTTCTAAGTATTTAACTTCTTATAGTTATTATTATTGTAATGAGTACACTGTTTGCTAGGCATATTGCTAGGAGTGTCAAGAGCATTATCATGTTGAATATTCACGACAGCTTTTTGAAGTTGATGCTGCTGTTATATTTTTTAGATGAGGAAACTGAGGCTTTAGGAGTTGAGGATAGCTTTTCCAGAAAGCCCCACCCAGACCTAGGAATCAGAATCTGCATTTTAAAAAGATCCCAGATAATTTATGTGCACATTAACATTTGAGAAATACTGCTTTATTTTCGAGTTCTTGCTCATAATCCCCACACGGTACCACCTCATGGGGGAGTTTAAGGTAAAAACTTATTAATACAATTAACTGATTCTGATTTGAATTTAGATCATTGAAAATAAACCTTGTTTCCTGATTATATGTTTTAATTTTGTGGATTTCAAATTGGTTAGTTCTGCTTTTTCATTTTTCAGCTAAGGGTTCTGAGGTCATCTTGTAAGAGTCAGCTCTTGCCCCCACCCCGTTGCATTTGTGGTCACTGGGTTCTAAGAAGATTCTAGTTTGATAGCTTCAGGTTCTTATTATTTAGTGTGTTTAAAAAAGGATGAATACCGACTGTGGTTCCTAGTGTAAAGGTTGAGTTACTCCAGGAGCTGTGGAGTCCATCCTTTCAGACACCTGTCCTCTCCTGTATGTGTGCCTTCTGGAATGTGATGTATAGTTATATCCGTAGGCATTTATATGTAAAATACAGTTTGTAATCAAGTTCATTTGAATTATAAATCAAGTTTCAGGTATGAACTGTGAAGCAGTCTGTGACTTTTTAAATGAAATTCACTAATTATATTACTTTTCAAAAAAAAAAAAAGAGTAACCCTTACACGAGTGACACATGTTTAAAAAGCGAGGAAGTGACACACAAACATTGGCACTTTAAGAGATGGCATTTGGAAATCAGCTTGGAGAATGGATAGGAAAAGATGAGACTGATTAGTGATTCTAGAATCACTTGGAAGGCTTTTAAAAATGCAGATTGATGCTTACTACATCCAAACGTTCTGATTAGTACGTTTGTGATGGGGCCCAAGATTTTGCGTTTTTGGTAAGTTCTCAGGTGATAGTGATGCCTACTGGTCCAGGGAACACATTTTAATAGCCACTGGATCACATTTTGGAAGACTAGTTAGAAATTTTTTGCATTGACTTATGTAAGACATAATACAGAGGTAAAAGCTGACAAGAGAGTTGAGGAAGAAAGACGAATTTCAAAGATATACTGGAATTACAGTTGACAGGACTAGTTTACAGAACGGAGTAGGCAGGTGAAAGAGAGGTAAGAATCTCAACGTCTAAATTTGGTAGGTAAATGGAAAATGGTGGTGCCATTACCTCAATATATGGAATAAAAGAGAAGAAGCTGGGTAGATTTTGGGGGTAGAACTGATGACAGGTTTGGGTTTAGACATGTCAAATGACTTATGGGGTAATTAAGGAGAAATATCTGTTAGGAAGGTAGGATGTTAGGGAGCTGAAGATCAGTTAAAAGAATACTTTTCCAAGTGCAAGCATGTTTGTCTATAGAAGGGAAAATTACAGGTCATAAAGTGAAGAGAATAAAGCAATGAGAATAGAACTCTGGAATATGCTAATTTTTAAGGTGAAATGAGAGTAATTCACCTTGGAAAAGCCCGAGAAGGCCTTGTAGGAGCCCCAGGGTAGAGTTTCTCTAAGATTTGAGCAACCCGTCAGCACGGCGGGAAGGTCAAATGACACATGGATTCAAATGTGCCCTTTGCATTTAGGAATCAGAAAATGATAGGGACGTAATTAAAGCAGTTTTGTTAAGGTTGCACAGAGGGGGCCCGGACTGCACTGATCTGAAGTTAGAAAGTGTTTTTAGGACAAAATACATGTCTTCTGTTTTTCTCATACTAAGTTTCTATTTTTCACCCCTGAAGAGGATAACACCATTGATAGAAATACTTGGCATGTGAATTCATTCTTATTCAAGTTCTAAGGTGTTTTTTGGTAGCTGAAATTTAATAAAATGTTTAAAGAGCAAATTAAGAATCAAAATCTATATGTTGTCTTTTTCTTTTGAGGAAGCACTGCCACTTATGGGGTATTTTCCCTTTCCACAGAAGGCTTTCAGAAGTGACTGGAAATTTTTGTGGTTTGTTTTTCTGAAAGTCATTTGTATTATTCTCTACTCCCATCCCACTAGGGAACCAAAAATGCTGTTATTGCTATTAAGAAGACTGTTTGACTCTGTGAATTTGTGTGACAGCTGGGCACAATTATTTTATTAGTTTCCTGATTGACCCAACTTAAACCAAAAAGAAAGACAAGGTCAACATATGTGACAGCTGTCAGGGCAGCTGTCACTTCTGATAATTTGACTGTAACCTTTTTTCTTTTTCTCCAGTGTTTTTCTAAGCAGATTTATAACGAAATGCTGATGATAAATAGAAATTACTTCCTTCCCAAGCGGGTTCTATCAGTGGTACGTTAGGGTCTGGAAAACATTTAATGTGTTCGTTTAAATGTGTTCGTTTGATAGCAGTATGGCCACCTCTGTTTCAGGAAAACTCGTGGGGTCGCATGACTGTTCAGGACGCTTCGGAAAGCCAGATTTGAGATTGAGCTGATACGGCCCTTTGGGTTGGACGCTCATATCCCTCTATTAATTAGTTGGAGTGTGCGCTGAATACAGAATGAGAGGGATTGCCAGTAAAATAGTAAGCTTTCTAAAAGGCCTAGATCAAAGCACATTTTCTATTTTGTGGTCAGACCCATCTGAACTACTACATTCTCTGTGTATGTGCTTTATTTTGCCCTTCACTTGTCGACAAGTGTTTCAAGACTCCACATTAAAAAAGGAACACTTTTTAAATCTCAGTCTGCGAATTATCAAATGTGTAATTGTTACTTTACAGAGGTCAAACTAATTTCCTAAACTATTAGAAATTTTCCCTGTTGACAGATCAGGCTCTTAAAATACTGGTAAATAGCATGACATATCAGGGCTGATAGTGAATACTAGAGGAAGGATGGTAGATTCTGAAGATGATAAAAAATCCAGAAGCTCTTTCAAATAATTTTTGAATACTTTAATGCCTTTATTTGTTCTTCATTTAGGATTAAAAATAACATTATTAAGTATATTGTTGGAATTCAAATTAATACTTCCTCCTTTTCTTTCTTGGGCAGGTTGTCAAGTTATTAAGCAACAAAAGGTCACAAGCAGTTGGGATATTAATGTCCAGCCTTCATTTAGATATGAAAGACATACAACATGGTAAGTATAAAAATAAAAATTCAATCTTTGAATATTAAAATTTGGGCTGAAGGATATGATGTTTGGTGGTAAAATTATTTCAAACTTAGAGTTTCTGTGTATGATGATGTTAGTACATTTCCTGTGTTACCAACTTTCTCCCATGTCTGTTACTAGAAGATTTACCATTAATGTGGCTTTTCTGTTATTTCTATATCTTGCTAAGAGCCTGATTCTCGTGTGATATATTTAGTCTGCATTAATAAATACTCAAATTTTTTATTCGTAAGTAGTATTATTCCTACTGTGCTCTGTAACTAGCTAGACTGTATCTGAGGTATTTAATTCCAGAGGCCATGGTCACAGAGTGACTGATAAACAGTAGCGAGAGGTGCATAGCAGGATGTGCCTCAACCACTGAAAATACCTGAAAAAGAGAGTCCACGGGAGAGAAATCTATGTTGAGACTTGAATCTCAAGTGTCGGATAAGCTTACATAAAGAAGAGGAAGTAAACCTAAAATTTTCTAATAAGAATTACAAGGAAGCTTGTTTTGCTTGTTGCTGTTTTAAGAATGTCCTTATGATTAAAGATGTCAGATAGAAGTCTGGATTGCCATATTAAGTAATGAAATGAAAACTCAAAATTGTTCAATAGGCCGAATGATCATTTGTCTTAGATGTCTTTAAAACACTGGGCAGGTGATGGGGCATGGACTCCCAGTCCTCCTGTTCCAAGATACTGTGAGATGCTTAAAGAATCACTAAAGCAGATTTACCATGTGTAACTTTTTAGGATGGAAAAATTGGTCCCTTTTCTTTTAGTAATTTGGGACCACTATAGTATAAACCTCTGAGCTTTTTTACACATAGAAGGATTGAATTAATTTTTTCTAATAACCATCAAAGATAGTTTCAAAGTGTTCTTGCTCACTTATATTATTGTTGGTGATCCAGACACATGGAAGCAATAACATAGTGACCTTTTGTTATTTCTTTTATGTTGTTGTTTTAACTTATATCTTTAATTGGGCTTATAAAATATTTTTTATGTTTGGATTTAGGGTGATTTTTAACATTTTCTAAGTGGCTTTAGTGTCAATATTTTAATGCTTGAATTCTACCCTGCAATTGACAGTCATTCCTATGCCATATCCTCTTATCACATTTATGCGGAGAGATGTTGCCCAAAGGTGAACAGAGGAATTAAATTTATATTCAGAATGTCCCTTAAGCTGTCCGGAGCCTTAGAACAGATTTAAAGCAGATTGAATTATCTACTGGAATGCCAGTTTACCTATTAAAGAAATGTGGTTTCAAGTATAACACAGACCTTATAAATCGTGAAAACATTTAACTGTCTTTCTAGCTTATTACCCTTTTGTGAATGTGGATTCTATTTGTTAGGCTTCACATATTGTGTGGAAGAATTCATAAACAGCACAAGCTTGGTATGCCCTGTCAATTGATGAGTAACTCTTAATCACAATTTAAGTTTTTATTAAACTGTTTTGATGGTGATGAGACTTCCTTAGCTAAAGCATCGGGGGTAGTAGTCATGGAACAGGACACTGAGCCCGGCGCCAAGTACTTGGCGTTTCTAAAGCTGGCAGATGTAGCCCAGTCAAATCATAGAATGAAATCTGAAAATAATGATATGGTCCTTTCCTTCGGTCAAATATTCAGCCCAGGCTGAGTTAATAATGAGAACCTTATGAACAAAGGAGGCCGCCTGACATCTGTGTCTGTGGTAAAGCCAACGAGAGTTCATTGAAAAATTTGCTAGCTTAACATGCAGTGCTAACAATAACATAGTATGAATGTCACTAGTTGAAGGGTCACACAGAATTATGCATAAACTTTATCCTATTAGGATGTGTAGCAATTGCTTGAGTCACTTTGAAACCCTGAACATGGTTTTCTAAAAAATGGCCACCTTAAAAGTCTGAAGAAGCAAGCAGTGTGTCTTCCAGTGAAAAAAGTCTTGTTCTGCCTCAGTATGTTGTCTGGAACCATGATTTACTTATGTGAAACACTTGTGGCCTCTAGAATAAACTCGACTTCTATCAGGATATGCCTCCACTGAGAAATCCACAGAAGCATAAACATCATTGTTTATGGATGTAGAAGCAGCCACGCAATTTATCCAGACCTCCAATGTCATCTTACAAAAGAGCAAACTTTTAGTGGTCAAGTTTATTTCTCAAGGTCACATAGCTCTGTAATGGAACGGACCAGACTTGCACCCAGCCCTTTTCGCTAACCGGTCCTGTTCTGTTCATTCTGATGTGCTACTTCTCCAAGATTGTGCTTTTCCTACTGGTTAACCAGCATCAGTATCTCTAAAACAAGGCATATATAATATTGCAAAAAAAAAAAAAAAAAAAAGGCAGGAATTATTGTCTCTGTTTCTCTTCTTTCCTGTTAACACTAGAAGAACTTAGAGTTGAATTTACATTGTAACACTTGTATTTTAAAGTGCCCCATTGGAGTGATTAGTGTGGAAGTTTGAGTTATAGTTGCCAAAGGTGTAATTTCGGCCTTGCCGTCATGTCCACTGAGTGGGTACCGCATCACGCTCAGACTCGCAGGCGAACACAGGTTACTTCCCACGATAGCACCATAGAGTCCAGGGTCACTGATGGCGGAAGGGGAGAGGGGATCAGTTTCTTGATTAAGTTTACTAATGGGGCAAATGTAAGTGAGGCAGCCTCAAATAATTAACGTGTGTGTGTGTGTGTGTGTGTGTGTGTGTGTGTGTGTGTGTGTGTGTATCAGAGGTTACAGTGAACGACGGAGCTGCTTGAATGTGGTCATGAATGTGCCTGGTAACTTCTAAATTATCACGCAGATTATAACAATTTTTCGGTGGGAAGGGTGAAACTGTGGTGTGCCACCTCTGAAAAATCCCACTCCAATGGTTAAGAACAATTTCCAGTCTAGAATGAAGGAGGTGCCTTTCAGAGAGGGTTTGCCCTAATTTGTGCTAAAGCTTGGGGACACTGTGAAGTTTAAGGTTGCCTTATATTAAGCTCAAGTGTTCGATTCTGGCACTGCTCACTGCTCATCTACCCCCTGAGTTTGTTTCCTGCGTGAGTAGCCCTCTGAGTCCCAGTTTATTGTTGGGGGAGGGGCGAGGTGTCCAGAATCTGTACTGCGGGTGGGCCCAGAGCTTTAATATTTGCCCCCCACACTTCCAGCCTCACGAAGCTGTCAGTAGAAAGTTCAGATTTGTTAGGATGGGCAGATACTCCAGGGACTGAAGCAGTTTCTGACCTAGCTCATTTTTCTCCAGTTTTTCTTGTTTAGCATGGTAGTTACTATCCTGCCAGTTCTTTGATGCCTTTAAGATATTTTATAAGTATATTTTATCCAACATTTTAAACTGTTCTCAGTGCGGGGATTGATTCCAGTCATCTAGCCTGTTATTCTCGGATTGGCCAGCCCAGAGTATGGGTGGCCTGGGTTCCTCTGTTCCTTCACGTGTGTCTTGTCTAAAGCCACCTGGTATTGTGGGCCCATGGACAATGAATGCTAAGTTACGTTCTTGTTGAAATTTCTGGCTGTTTAAACATGATTTACCAAAATCATATGTTTTGAAATTAAATGATATAATTATGTAAACACCTAATATTCCATCAGAAATATAGTTGATACAGCTAATAAAATTGCGGTTATTTTTATTCTTTTATCTCTAAACCTAATGATTGTTTTTTCACTTTTTATTTTAAAAACGTGGTGAAGGGGATCTTCCAAGGACAATAACAAGCTTTCAGATGTAGACCAGAAAGTCCAGTGAAGTTTGTTCATTGTGACTCCTCTTTGGCATCTGCATCCACTTGCTGTTCTCTTGATCTGTCACTAACCTCCCTCAAAGGGGCTCAGAGCTAAAAGCCTCATCCTTATTCCTCATCCATAATTGTGTAGGAAGAAATCACCTAAATTCACAGGTACTTAAAAAGAGAATTGCTTTTGGCAAACAAGATTCATATTCTAATATCTTTCATAATGAAATCTTTTTATTAGCATCTGGAGAGATGGAAATAAACACTGATTTGAATCCCCCGCAACTGTAGTTACTGATTGTTGTGTAACATGGTCCAGAAAGAGGGAGTGAATTTCCATTCCTGTGGAGAGATGAGGCTTTGGATGAAGCAGCCAGGGGCTTTGCCCCTCAGCAGGACGGGAAGGTGCTGCTGTCCCTGTGATGCTCAGCTGGGTGCTCTCTGCGGTGTGTTAACTGATTTCAGAACGAGGACCTGCGCTACCTAATGAAATGAGAATGTGCACCATATGCAAACACAACCGGCATACGCGCATAATACTTTTGGGGCTGCCTGTTGTTTTGTTTTTTAGAGTTATTAAAACATTGGAAAATATAAATTTAATAAATTTCACTTCTTGCTTTATGTATCATTTCATACAAATCCCTTAGTTTCTTATTGATTCTGTTACTTAGAGAAATGAAATGGGTTTTTTCATATCTGTGAATTAAATGAGGAAGACCATTAAAAAAAATGATTAATTAATGGTGTTACTTGTTTTTGTTTGAACCAAACAAACATAAACAATATTTTTATAGAAAAAGCAGTCTAGGCTAAGCCTGAACTAAGGCAGGTCATGAATACCTGTAAAAAGCCTGTGATGCTTAGGACCTGGGACTTTCTGTGTCTCTTTTCTCGGTTATCAATTGCTCAGAGTGTTGCAGGATGCTGAGACAGAGAGCCGGGACAGGATAGAGCTGGGACTCCAAGGCTATAAAGCAGAAAGCAGCATATATTGGCTTTATTGGTGCCGGCACCAGCCCAGTGGACTCAAATCCAAAGCCTGAGCCCCGATCGCAGTGGGGCTTCCCTTTTATATACATCCTTTGCATGTTCTTTCTATATGAGGAAAGTGTATTTTGATTGGTTGGCGGGCTATAAGGGGAGTGACCAACCAGGGCCTGTGGTCTGTGCCAAGTCAGCTGTGACACTGAAAAGTCCCTTACCTATTATGGGAAGGGAAGCGAATAACCTTCAA